GGAACAGCCTCAGAGGGGGCCGCCGACTGCGGCACTGGAACAGCCTCAGAGGGGGCCGCCGACTGCGGCACTGGAACAGCCTCAGAGGGGGCCTGGAGTGCCCGCTGAGGGGCAGTGGAGGCTTGGAGCGCCCGCTGAGGGGCCGTGGAGGCTTGGAGCGCCCGCTGAGGGGCCGTGGAGGCTTGGAGCGCCCGCTGAGGGGCCGTGGAGGCTTGGAGCGCCCGCTGAGGGGCCGTGGAGGCTTGGAGCGCCCGCTGAGGGGCCGTGGAGGCTTGGAGCGCCCGCTGAGGGGCCGTGGAGGCTTGGAGCGCCCGCTGAGGGGCCGTGGAGGCTTGGAGCGCCTGCTTAGCTTTATTTCAGAGAGCATTTTAGTAGTCTGCTCAGGGAAATCAGGATGACTCAGAACGGGCTCAGGGGTCTCAGGCGCTAGGCTAAACGGCCCTCCAATGGGAACAGCCTCAGAGGGGGCCGCCGACTGCGGCACAGGAACAGCCTCAGAGGGGGCCGCCGACTGCGGCACAGGAACAGCCTCAGAGGGGGCCGCCGACTGCGGCACAGGAACAGCCTCAGAGGGGGCCGCCGACTGCGGCACTGGAACAGCCTCAGAGGGGGCCGCCGACTGCGGCACTGGAACAGCCTCAGAGGGGGCCTGGAGTGCCCGCTGAGGGGCAGTGGAGGCTTGGAGCGCCCGCTGAGGGGCCGTGGAGGCTTGGAGCGCCCGCTGAGGGGCCGTGGAGGCTTGGAGCGCCCGCTGAGGGGCCGTGGAGGCTTGGAGCGCCTGCTTAGCTTTATTTCAGAGAGCATTTTAGTAGTCTGCTCAGGGAAATCAGGATGACTCAGAACGGGCTCAGGGGTCTCAGGCGCTAGGCTAAACGGCCCTCCAATGTGCTCAGGAGTCTCTGGTGCTAGGCTAAACGGCCCACTAATGGGCTCAGGAGTCTCTGGCGCTAGTCTAAACGGCCTGATAACGGGCTCAGGAGTCTCTGGTACTGGAGAAACCCCCCCACTAATGGGCACTGGAGCTAGGGAATCTGGCCCTCAACTGGGCACTGGAGCTAGGGAAACTGGCCCATCAATGGGCTCTGGAGCTAGGGAAACTGGCCCGTCAATGGGCTCTGGAGCTAGGGAAACTGGCCCGTCAATGGGCTCTGGAGCTAGGGAAACTGGCCCGTCAATGGGCTCTGGAGCTAGGGAAACTGGCCTGTCAATGGGCTCTGGAGCTAGGGAAACTGGCCCGTCAATGGGCTCTGGAGCTAGGGAAACTGGCCCGTCAATGGGCTCTGGAGCTAGGGAAACTGGCCCGTCAATGGGCTCTGGAGCTAGGGAAACTGGCCCGTCAATGGGCTCTGGAGCTAGGGAAACTAGCCCGTCAATGGGCTCTGGAGCTAGGTAAACCGGCCCGTTAAAGGGCTCTGGAGCTAGGTAAACCGGCCTGCTAAAGGGCTCTGGAGCTAAGGACACTGGCCCGCTGAAGGGCTTGGGATGTGCTGGCTGACAGGGAACTGATGGAGGTGGAAGGAAAGGGAATAGATCCTCCCTTTGCCCATAAAAGTAGTCCCATAACTCTGACTCCTCAATATGTGGTGCTCTGACTGCAGTGGGTGTAATCATGGTGACTGACTTTAAACCTCTAACTCGGGGAGCTAACTGCTGACCCGCCGGAGAGGGAGTGGAGGCGTCAGGCTGACCCGCCGGAGAGGGAGTGGAGGCGTCAGGCTGACCCGCCGGAGAGGGAGTGGAGGCGTCAGGCTGACCCGCCGGAGAGGGAGTGGAGGCGTCAGGCTGACCCGCCGGAGAGGGAGTGGTGGCGTCAGGCTGACCCGCCGGAGAGGGAGTGGTGGCGTCAGGCTGACCCGCCGGAGGGGGAATGGATTTCTTCCCCCGGCGGCGCTTACGCCTGGAGGAGGCAGACGGCATGGGGGGACCAACAGCTGGTGAAGGTGGAGGAACCGGACTGGAGGCGATTGAGAGCAGAGTTGGAAGGAGGTGAAGTGATGGTTTGGGTGGTGGAGGTCTGTTGAAGAGTTGGGCGCTGGCTGCTGGGTGGTTCCACTCCAACTCTTCAAACAGTTCAGACAGCACTGGGGGAGAAATGAGTTTGCAGTTTGTGAGGAGAATTTGCCTTAGTTGGCCAGCTGCACTCACCCTCTCCTCAGGCGGGCTGAGACTGGCAATAGTGTCCAGAGCCTTTCCCAGCTTCAGGAAAAAATCCCTCAGGGTGTCCAGACTGGGCTCTGCTGGGTCCATTGTGGTTGGTTCCTATTGTCAGGTTTTAGTTGTGGTTTGGAGGACCCAAATTCAGAGGCAGAGGCTGAGGAGATCTCTTGGGAGTTTTAATGGGGCAAAAAAGTAAACAAAGGCAAGGATCCAAAATGCAACTAATAATAAAAGGCAAACCAGAACAGAGGAGACATCTGGGGAAAACCAAACACGAGGAGCCAGGGAGAGACGAGGAACATAGACCACAGCATGGGAAGACAGCTAAGACAAGGAACCAACAAAGAGTGAGAGCAGAGGGAGAGCATATATAGGAGACAGAGACAAAAGGAGGGTTAACGAGCAGACAAGGAACAGGTGTGAGAGGAGACAACGAGGGAGCCAAGGGGAAAGGAACATACACACACAAGAGGGCAAAAGAGGACAACAGAAAAACTTGAGAACTAATATAAATCTAGAAATACAACAAAACTGGAATTAGGCTAATAAATCTAGAAAACAAGGAGCAAAGAAAAGAACAGCAGAACCACGACCATGACACACTTAAATATCTCCCAGACTATTAATAGACCTTACATGGTATAAGCAGATGACTGTTGCTAATGTTTTATGATTGCTCGTACTAGAATCTTTTTTGTACTTCATTATCTAATAGATTTAAAGCAAAATCCATTCAACATCACTTTGAAAACTCAATAAATTGGACTTATTCAGATATATGGGACTATATGTGTCTCTTACATGAGTATTCCTTTTTTGTTTTATTTATTTTTGTTTAAAACATGTTTTGTTTTAATGCTCCGGGGTAACGTGGAAATGACTTAAGGTGCATAGTATATCTGACAGCTCCTGTCTGATCCACAAAGATGTGCTACCTTCAAGTGCTGCTTTCACCCCTTATTCTTCCCTGTTAGCAATCAAGTGGGCTGATTGGTTCTCAATAATAATCCCTCCTCTGTTATATTTTATAGGTGGAAGACACTTTTTTTCTCCAAAATAAGACAAAAGAAATTATTGATTCATTTTTATTGATAATTCTCAAGTCTTACAGAGATTTGACTTAACCCTTGTAGCTGAATATTTTTGTGATAAGCTTGCTCATAAGAAGAACACAAACACATTTTGCTTTAAAGCAGCCAGTTGGAAGAGGCTGAACAAGGCTTTCACTTTAGACAGAGGGGTTAAATAAAGGGTACAAGAGGATCTTCCAATTTGTGGTCACCCTCCACTCCCAAAAACTGGATCGTAATTGTGTCCCCGAGCAGAGGACTGTTGAAGATCATCAGATGAACGTACTCGTTTTCTCCAACCCTTACCTGTAGAGAGAAGAGAATACAAATGATCCTTTGAAAGGACTAGAAATGCATTTTTTTCACTTCTTTATAATCTTGTTTTTATAAGTTAAAATTAGGAGCTTTGCATTTATTCATAAAAACCAGTGTTTATCCGTTTTAGTCATCTGTTTGCATTTTGGTCCTGGCATAGCCTATTTTACATTCAATTCAGTGGATTAAGGTGCCCCTTAAAGGAATATTTTGTAAGTTTTTACTGAATGATATCTTTAAAATAGCCTTTTTATTTGATCCTTTACAATTAAACATTTAGCAGTTCAGTGCCAATGCATCTATAAGCCTGTAGCATATTTTCCTAAAGGGTCCCATGCTGTTTGGCTGATAAGACATCAAACGGATCCAGAGCTTGCAAACAATTAAAGCATTATATTGAAGATGGATTTTGTGCATAATCAGGCTGCCTTCATGTGGTATGGCAAAGATGATTATTATCACTTCTAAAGTGGAAATGACCATTGCATTGTTTTTTTTGTTGTTTTTTTTGTTGTTGGTTACAAAGATTATCCTGACCTGATACTTTGACAAGACAGCTTTAGACTTCCTAATTCATCTGCTACAGGAAGAAGAGGGTGCATCAAATGCATTGACTGATGGCTAGCGAATGTCAGATAAAATAAGGTATTTTCAAAAACAACACAAGTTTAAATGGTGACACATTTTTCAAAAATATATATGTCACAGCATTGTGTAGGCCACTTACACAACAAGACAGAACGCTTGATGATGCAGTATTTACAATCAACACCAACACAGCTGGAAACTGCAGGTCAGGCGGGGTGCGCCGGTGGTGCAGGGGTTAGGTACATGACCAAAGGTTCAAGTCCTGGCCTGGTGACCTTTGCCACGTGTCTTGCCCCTTTCTCTACTCCCATTTTCTATCTACCAACTACACCTTACAAAAATAAAGGCAATTAGAGCCTAAAAACTTAAATAAAAAAATAAAAAATTAATTTTAACATACTGTGAGAAAAAACAAAACGATTTTTCAGTACGAGAATGACTAAAAGCATACTGCTGTAGTGTGTTTTGGCCATAGATGGCAGTACCTTTAGAAAACTCTAATGAATTATACTGTTTTGTTTTTTTAATGAAATTTCCTGTTCAATAATTAATGATACATAAAATACTTGTATTGATTAACTGTCAAGCAATGAAAGTTATAATTTTCAGATTATATTTGCCCAGAAACATCTATTGTTGCTACTGAAATCTTTTGAGGGGTATGGTATGAAAAAGCATTGTTTATTACCTTGGCGAGTATTTTTTTCCCTGCCACAATCTGATACCGGTATTCAACTGCAACAAACTCCCCATAACTCTTTTTTGTTTTTGCCCCTGCAATGCCCTGCATCTGTGTGAGAATAAAATAAAAAGAGGTGTTAGAGCAGAAAGTTTAGAGGGCAACAGTTGTAGAGAAAAACAAAATCTCACCCATTTACAAAGCATGGAAACCTCTTCATCGACGGGCATGATTTCTGACCATCCTCCAGGCGACATTGTTCTGCTTCTGTTTGCAGCTTTTCACCAAAACTGAACTTGAGTTGGTTTTCCAGCATATTTATACTCTAGGTGCTCTGGAAGGGGACTGGGAGGTGACAATGGGTGGAGCTTTGTGTGGAAACACAGCTGTTATGTGCATAAATGCATATTGAAAGAATTTCTCAAGAATTTCTTACATTATCAGATGTTTTTTTTACAACTGCAGAGCCAGTAAAAAGCAATCGAGAGGAAAATAAGTTATACAAGTTAGTGATATAAAGGACATCAACAGCTGGTAACTCACATTAGTTATAAGAAAGCAGACGTCCATTTAATAAATTACTAATTAGTAACAAGATGTGAGGGTGCTTCTATAAACATGCATTAAAAATCTGGAGAAAAGGGCTGTAATGGATGGGGATGGTATTAGTTCATTACTCTGTTAGATAAAACATTAGTGCAGGTTTGGGAAAAGGGGGAAGTCTTCAATGTAGAAGAGCAGATTGTCTTGGACCATGAGTACTTGATTAGTTACAGAAGAATATAGCTTTAGAGCAGGTTGTTATCAAACTGTTCAAACAGAATAACATATAATTTTAATACCCAGTACATAGCACAGTTTATAGTATGGTTGAATAGCATACCCAACTATTGTGAAAGCTTTACCTGGGCTTGAGGAACTGGGCGTCCAAATGCAGGTGAATGATAGAGTGGATTTAAGCAGGGATGTCCTGTAGTGCTGAGAAGCTCTCAGACACTGAGACACTATGACACTATGCCTGGTTCATGTCATTGTACAAAACAGTAACATATGAGAAAAGTAGCAGGCATTGTGGAAGGGCCGTTTGGCGTGTACACATGGCCACTGCTGCCATTGAGGACACCAAAGTCCAGACCTTGTTATTTTGCTGTGTATATAATAAAAAGAAGAATAAAAAATGCTTTGAAACAGCATGATTCTCTCAGTAGAACCTACAGATTATTGTAGGAGGAGCTGTAAACTGGCGGTGAAACATAATGGGGGTAACTTGCTAAGAAATGTTCAACTTAAATTCATAATTTATCCAAATAATAACTTACTAGCCTTCACCTTTCATAAGACTGCTTAGTTTATTTAGAACCTCTTCTGCCAATTGATGACATTGTTTAGTTTTTGTTGGCACTTTCTGGTGAGCTACTGTGACAGAGCAATGATGTTTCTATTTCAAGAGCTGTTTCTATTCCTTTAATAAATAAAACAGTTTTGTTTCTATTTTTGCTGAACTAATTTCTATTTCTGCTGCACTCATAGGGTTTCACTCTATGTGTTTACCTTATAAAACATGCTTTATTACCTCCACCAAGGATGTTATGTTTTAAGTTGAGTTTGTGTGTGTTTGTATTTTTTGCTTGTGTACAGGATAACTGGAAACTTATGAATGGATTTTAATGTATTTTTTACAACAGGTACTCCTCAGTCTAAGGAACAATCCATTTAATTTTTGTGATGATCCACATCATAATGCAGATTGGGAATTTTTTTTAGGATTATAACATTATTTGGTGGAACAAGTAGTCCCCCCCATAAACCAGAAGGTGGAAGCAGTGACTATTGACAGCTTCAGCATCGGACTCAAAACAGTCCACAAGAATTACTGAAGGATTATTATGGATTATTTTTTGCTTATTTTTCTCTAGATTTGAACCTAATCATTCACTTAAATCTGGCAATGATCCAGATCATGTGTGAGTTTTAGCTATAGGTGTAGGTAACAATATGTCACGGTCTTGGCGCTGATGGTTGGCAGTTTCATTTGCTCACCTGTCAAATTGGCCTGGCGTCTGATTAACGCCGATCGTTTCCACCTGGTTCCCTCAGCTATTTATGTCGTTTGCCTGCCTACCATCAGTGCCAGATTATTCGAGCTGTTTGTGAGAGTAACTCTAGCGTTCAAGTGACTTTTTATGTGATTCTGATTCTGACCTGTTCTTTGTTTATGCATATTCAAGTTTTTGCTTTGCACTTGCCTGCTCTGTCAGGTTTTTTTTTTTGGACTGTTTTTCTGGACTCTGCTGGTTTCTGAACTTGGACTGTGTTACTGACCTCAGTAACTCCTTAGAATATAATTTCACCTAGTTAATATAAAAGTTACTTTCAAAGCACATTGAAATTTAAGACAGTGGAACAATGTTAATACTAATCAAGTGATATTTTTTTGTCTGTCCCTAATGTTTCCCACACAGCAAGGAACCAATGTATATATTTTCATGATGTCATTTAACCATCAACCGTCACTTTTTCATTATACAGGCAGTTTTTTTCCGTTATTGCTTCCCTCGTTCTTTCACAGAAGTTTAAACTTTTTCCTAAGAAATGGGGAGACATTTCATGTCAAACAGGATTTTTATGGTCACAGAGAAAATGTTTGTAAAGAAGGGTTCCAGTGAAATAGGAGGCCATTCCTTATTTATGCCACTGGTATAAATCTTTACACAATACCCTGCAGGTGCCACTCCTGTCTCAAGAGCAGGAAACTAAAACTGCATTTTACACCCTCTATCAAGATTAGTCCATCTAAAACCTGAAAAACATGGTGGGTTCAAAGTTTGGTATAAACAACACGAAAGTATAGATATGGGTTGTTATATCATAATGTGAAAGAAATGCTTTTGCACGCTTGTTACCTGTTAAAGATGGTTTAAACACCTATCCTAATCCTAATCCTAACAGAGGCTCATTGATGATGATTTTATCAATTCCTTTATTTTCAGAGGTAGCTCCGATGCTTGGTTTCCAGATGTTATCCAGCAGACTGCAGTGCAGAACTCTGGGAAAAAGAAAGGAGATGGAATCTGCTTTAATAAAACAGAGTCTGTCTAATGGTTATTGTTAGAAAATTTTAAATGTCATAATTTTATTTGTATTAAGTTACTGCCAGGGTTCCTGTGTGTGGGATAGTGTGAGTTATAGATCTCCTCCAGAGAGGATCTTTGTGGAGAACCCGAGTAGCCTACACAGTTCAAAATAATCTTTCTGTGCTGGGCTCAAAAGAGCAGCAGAGCCTTCACTCAGTGCTGGTTTCTTGTGTTACAGATTTTGTTTTGTTGCTTTCTAGTCTCTTGCTTCCCTCAAGTTTTATCCCTGATGTTTATTGGTTTTTGGTTGGTTTTCAGAAGTTTTGGATTTTGGATTTTTGACCCTGTTCCCGTTGGACTTTCATTAAATCATCCAAACTAACAGTATTAGTCTGTATACTGCACTATAGTTCAACACTACATTGTCAGAAGTATATATCCCTCTGTTTTTGCATTTACATGAAATTTGTTGTCTGTTTTTTAAGCAGTTTGGTTCAAGTTGTTAACGCACACCTGTAGCCACAGCAGAGAATTTTCTGATTCTGTAAAAACTGTCCACATGTTAAGGTCTGTTCATAGTTAGATGAGAAAAGCAAAATGGCAGCATCTGATCTAATTCAACTCAAAGGTTTTCAATAAGAATGTGTCAAAACTCTGTTCAGTCCAGGAAACTGTCTCCCCAATTAACCTCATACTCGTGTTTTAATCACTTAATTTAGACGAACTGATTCAAATCTACAAATGTTGATATTGTACATTGTGGCTTAGGGCGTTAGGAAATATTTATGTAGTAACAACTTCTAGCCACTAGATGTCAATGTCTCTTTTCCTGAACACACGTTAAACACATGTCTGTCTATCCATCTATCTATCTATCTATCTATCTATCTATCTATCTATCTATCTATCTATCTATCTATCTATCTATCTATCTATCTATCTATCTATCTATCTATCTATCTATCTATCTATCTATCTATCTAGATCATAATGACCTGGTCATTTATGTAGAAGGAAGATCAAACACCCTTAGTGCCTTAGTTATTGTGCCATATAACTTATAGTGTGGAGAACCTATAGTGCTCCAAACATTTTTCACAAGAAAAAGGTTCATATTTGTTCAATTTTCGCATCAGTATGCTAGAGGGGAGGTAATTCTCTGCAGGCAGGTGTTTCTCGGCATAATACGGTGGTGAGTTTGACATAGTGGAAAAATTGTAAATCTTCTTTTGGAAAGTAAGCTTCTATGAGCGATGCAAACAGTAACTTTTAAACAGAGCGTACACAAAGAGAAATGGGCTCTTGCATGCTCTCACACGCGTTTAATTGGTGTGTACAGGGTTGTGCATGTGCTTTTTTTTTTCTTAAATTGGATAGGACCTTATCAAAAATCCTCCACTATACCTTCAATGTGTGGCATTAAAGCAACACAGCTCATCACCCTGAACACACCGTCCTCACTGTCAAACATGGTTAGTGGCAGCATCATGGTTTGGGTCTGCTTTTCTTCAGCAGGGAAAGGGAAAAATGTTAGACATTGATGGGAAGATGGATTGAGCCAAATACAGGACCATTCTGGAATAAAACCTGTTGGAGTTTGCAAAAAACCTGAGACCGGGACGGAGATTTATCTCCCAACAAGACAATGATCCAAAACATAAATCAAAATCTACAATGGAATGGTTTACAAATAAGGATATCCATGTGTTAGAAAGGCCAAGTTAAGATCCATTGGAATGAACTGAAAACTGCTGTTGACAAATGCTCTACATCTTACCTCACTGAGCTTAAGCTTTTTTGTTGGAAGAATTAGAAAAAAATTTCAGTCTCTCGAAGTGCAAAACTGATTGAGACATACCCCAAGTGACTTGCAGCTGTAATTGCAGTAAAAGGAGGTGCTACAATGTATTAAGTGAAGTGGGTTGAATAATTTTGCACACCCAATTTTTCAGTTTTTTATTTATTAAAAAAGACTAAAATATCCAATAAATTCCATTCCACTTCATGATTGTGTCCCACTTGCTAATTCTTTGCAAAGAATTACAATTTTACATCTTTATGTTCGAAGCTTGAAATGTGGCAAAATGTCAAAAAGGTCAAGGGCGGCAAATACTTTCCCAAGGCACTGTATTTGAACATCTTTTTCAAAGATGAAGAAAAATTTAGTAAACAAGACATGGAGCTTAATAGCTTAATATATCAGAACACTTTCAACCAGATATTAGATTATATTCATGAATCACATGTTTGAAATAAATGCATTTTAGGGTGAAGAGCAAAGAACATGAAGGACAATGAAATAATCCTCATCTACATTTGCTGTTGAGACCAGTAGTCCATCCTTTATGGGATTTGGATACAGTTTTTGACTTGAGGACAACTTTTTAAAGTAGAGCTTTGACTAAAGAGAACCTTTTAAATTAAATACAGAAAAGACAAGGATTGACCTCAGGTTCATTTCTGTATATCCCTCGGTTTGGTCCAGAATTTTAATGTTCAGTTTTTACTGATGATAAATATGCAAATTGTTAACTTCTGTTCCTGTGTGACAGCTTTGTTAGTTCTCCTTATCAGTGACGCAGTAACACTTCTGAAAAGCAAAACAGGAAAACAATAACAGCTCATGTGATGGAACTTGGCTGGATTTTTTTTAAAGAAAATGTTAATGTTTTCGAAATTATTTATCATTTAATATAATGTAGAAATTATTTAAGTTTATAAATGTGTTTCTGGTGAAAAGTCAGCATACAAATAAAATTTCCTCTATAATTTTGCTCACAACCAGACAACTGTTACCAAAAACATTTAATGATCAGCTAAAATGTTTGTTCTTTTCAGCAAATTAGCAAAACCTTACAGAACATCGTGAAAATTAACAATTGTAAAATTACTATGTAATTTTACAGTGTAGACTTGTCAGATTTAATCTTTAATAGTGTTGCTAGAATGGCTTTTTCATATATGGAATATATATGAATGCTTAACTTTTAAATAATTATGAGCCCCTGCCTTTATGCGCTTCTTATCCAAGTTTAGGTTGAAGCAGAAGAAGCTTTGGAAAATGTAAACAGCTTTCTATGTCTATGTGAAAAGGTTCACCTACTTTAACTGTGTGGTAAGGAATTCACTGTTTTCTAGCACTGCTTATATAGATGCACATCTATTTACAGACCAAGAGTTTTTTTCATGATCTGGGAGGTTATTTCTTTGCAGGAGTTACCATTTCATAATGCAGTTACAGCACTGTATTTTGCCTGAATCTGGATCTCCCTTTCACAACTCTGTGAGTTCTTCAGCTCCAAATTTTTCAAAAGAAGCAGAATTTTTTTCCATAATTGTCTGATAAAATGTTAGTAAATTTATTTTTGTGTGGTGCATTTAAGGGACCTAAATTTCTGTTTTCAGTTGTATTCAGCTTTGATTCATAATACTGTTTTCACTTCCACGTCTGAGAGTTTTGTGAAACTAAGAAGTAATATGAGGAAAAACAAGCATAAGGCAGTCAAGCATGCTGTCAAAGAGTGCCAATGTTATGCAACAAAACAAAACCTCCACCAGCTGTCCGGTAGAGCACATTATTCAAATAACTCACGTCGTGTCCGCGGGACGTATGTGGTGCTTCCAAATTTGTAGCCTGATACTGTCTAACATTACAACAATTTTATATGGTGGCCAGACCCTCTCATATTTCCCTCAGCATCTGTCAGTGGAATATTTCATGACCAACGGAATGAGGAACAGCAATGGTGAATGAGAGCAGCTGAAAGTTTTGCTTTTCCTAATGTGATACATCTGTGTTTTACTTATTGTTTACCTATGCTGCAGTCATACAGGTGGTACACATTATTCTGACAGCTCATGAACTCACCTCATAGACTCTATAAATCTAAGGATGTGGTCCTTAGAGGTATCCCAATCTAAAGTTATCCATATAGTGGAGGTAAGGAAGCTACTGGTACACAATCTGTCCTCGTCCATTAG